TTTACCTTGTTTTCCATTGATTTCTGTACTTTCTTAAGTCTACTGAAATCACACACTAGCTGAAGAGCAGCAATAAAAATAACTGAGTTTTAGCAAATAGATAAGTTCAGGAAGATCAGAAAAAGCAGATATTATATATGTCAGTGATTGCAGAGAGCTCAAATTTCCTTATAAAAATATTAAGTAAACATTCCTCTGCAAGTAAAACTTTTTAGCAAATTAGCAGACAAAATGAACCCATTTTTAACTCTTAAGCTATATATTTGAACCACTTTCCAAACTATCTAGTACTTAAATATTATGTATTATCTCAATTTCTGTTTGTGGAATATTTAATTATTATGTTCCTTTTCTAGAGTCAATGAGAAAAATACAATTTTCTAATAGACTATATTGACTAGAGATTGAGTCAGCAAAGTTTTATTATTAAGGGCCAGGGAGTAAATTTTTCAGCTTTGTGGCCCATATAGTCTCTGTCACAATTACTTAATTGTTGTTTTAACATGAAAGCAACTATAGAGAGTAAGAAAACAAATGATTGTGATTGTTTTAAAATAAAACTTTATAGACACGTAAGTTGGAATTTCATATTTGTGTGTGTGTGTTACAAAATATTTTTTTCTTTTAGAAACAACTAAGATATGAGAAAAACATTCTTAGCTGGCTGGTCAAACAGAATGGTATGACACATAAACTATAGCTTACTGACCCCTGGCATGGATAGCTCAAGTGGAATAGTAGAGACACTTCCAATCATATTTGAAAAAGGGAGCCTTATTTTCATGAAATGATTAGACTCACAGATATTTCTCCGGTACCTCCTTCTTTTATTTCTTTCTTTATTCCAGGAATTCCAATCTTAGCACTGGACATGTTAAGAATAGGGAACATAATCTCACAAAATATTCAAATCCATGTTTACACTATAATTCAAATATTTTCCTTTCTTTATTTCTTTACCCTCTTCTTTCAAGCATCCTTTAACTCTTCACTTTTCTAGATCCTTCAATGCCCCTCAAATATTATAGTGTCTAAGACATTTTACCATCCATGCATTTTTTACTTAATGTATTTGAAAAGTATTAAAAGTTCCTCTTAGACCACATTGTCCTCCTAATTTTTCAAAACTAATTCTCTTCATTTGTCCAACAATATTACTTTTTTCTTTTCATTTTTTCGTTGATTCCCTGTGAGACTATGACTGAACCTGACAATTTGGCCATCACAAATAATCATTAAGTCTTATACAAAGAATTATTGTTAATCTTTATTGCATTTAGTATCTGTCAGATTCTTTTTTTTAATTTAGCACAGGATATTATAATTATTTCTATTGAAATTCATTATTTTAGCCTTACCACAGTGTTTAGGTAGTCACAATTCCTTGGTACTCTTACAATTTAATATATTTGTTCTCCTTCCTAGCTAGACAGCTATTCATATCTTCCTTCAGGTTTTGCAAATTAATATTTCACAGGTCAAGCAGGACCAAGGAAAGAATTACAAGGCACATTTTGAGAGATCAGGTTCAAGTCAGATGGAGCCAGTTTTATAGAACTGCACCATGGTCCCATGGGAAGCCTTCTCCCTGGTTTGCAATAATTCATTAATTGACACCAAAAGCAGGACAATATAGAAAGCTAATTTATTTATCAGATTATTATATCAAAAAAACAAGCATTTTTCCACCTTGACCATATATGAATTGTAAATATCTTCTAAATGTCCATAGCATAACCAAGGTAGCAGAACATTGGATAAACATGGCCTCTATTACCTTCTACTTCATTCCACTTTCCTCAGGAATCCACAGTTACTCCTAGTGAAGGAAAACTAGCACTTACTATTTTGGAAAAAGCATTTCTAGTCACAAGCAATTATTTACTCACCCCATTCTAATTATGGACTTTTTCTCATCTTTTTCACCTTTTAAAAATTAATCTCAGGACAAATTAAAATACTGTTGTGGTTCTCTTAAACAGTTTTCAAAACAGAACAGGTGTGTGTGTGTGTGTGTGTGTGTGTGTGTGTGTGTTGCATGCATATGTACACACATAGGCATGCTTAAGTGGTCTGTTTTTATTTGACTTTTCATTATTAAAATATAGATGACATGAGAATGGGAGAATAACAGGATGAAGCAAGCTTTTCAGAAGAAAATATTTCAAAGCCTGTTTCTTAACTGATAGTGTCTTCCTCTGCTCATGATTCTGGGTGAGGAGCAACACACCTGAAAGGAAGCCACTACATCACAACTGGGGAATTTAACTCTCAAGGGTTACCCAAAAGGAAACTAAGAGACATTTTAAAAATATAACTATGCCAAATAAATTTTTTACCTAAGAAGAAAGAATAATTTTTATAGTATAAACACCTTAGAAAATAACAATATTGGTTAGTAAAGAATTGGGAAAAACCCACTGAGATTTATAAAAGCCATCAATTCTAGGTTTTAACAATATATTTAAATGTTGATAGTCCATTTCCTTATGTCCCACCTCTTTTTCCTGCAGTCTATTTTTTATGCATTTTTCTTCATCCTCCTTTTTCTCCTGAATCACTTTAGAAAACACAGAATTAAGTAATTGGGAGTTGGAGACTTCACATGATCTCATCATTGTGCATGATGATCATATTCCAGAGCTAGATATATCATCAAACATTTCCAACTCTTACAACGCATTTATCAGAAAGGGTACATCTGCTTTTCAGGTGTGTGGCTCAAAACCTTTAAAAATTTCATTAATAATCAACAGCTGGTGCCACCTAGTGTCCGTCCTCTCCATTCATCAGTGAAATGAAATACACAGCACTAGTCACAAACGAAGCAAGCCAAAACTACAAACTAACAAACAAAAAAACCACGGTTTGGGAAGTCCAGTGGCTGATTTAAATTACACTATCTTCATTGAAAGAAAAACCTCTTTTGCAAGTAACTATGGTAACAGGAGTGTGGGGCTAGCAGGAAGCTCACATTTTTCTCACAGGAGACAATTCACAAAAGAGTCCTACTAAAGAAGCAATGTAAAAGAGTTTTTCCCCCCCAGACATGAATTGTCACTTAAAATGTTCATAAAAAGTTGAGAAATGAAACTGACAGAATAAGATTCTTTTTTAAACAATAGTTTAGATACAGCTGATTTTTGTCAACCAACCAAAATTAACCCTGTAAGATTTGGATGCAAAATTCTTTCCGTTTGTGAGCTTCACAAAGATTAATCAAGTACTGCAAGAGACTTTATAAGAGCATGTACAAATCTCAAAAGTATTAAAGGAAATAATCAGACTTCCTGAACCAATTATTAAAAGGGTTTGTGCTGCTAAAATTATACATCTAGAAAACTATTTTCTTTCCTGCTGTACATATGAATTATGAATGAAACATTCAACCATAGTCATGTATGCTTCAAGGTTAAAAAGTACTCATCCAAATCCTTGACTATTTTGTAAAACATATGTTTGTAAGTAATTAGGATGCATATAAGCAGCAGAAATCATCCACCCATTTTTAACTGGTTCACTGATATTTAAATACATGTTTTAACTCACTCTTTCTAAGAGGAATACGTAATTGAAAAACATGGACTAACAGGAAAAAAAGTTACATAACAGCAGAAGTGTTCCTCAACCAGACTTACTGGGATATTACAAATGCTACAGAAAAGGCATAGCATACATGAACATCACCGTGTATACAGAAAGGTCACATTAGATGTTCATATATAATAGTCTATTAACTTCTATAATTTAGGTACTGAGGCTACTGGGGAGAAGAGGCAGAGAGCTTAGAGATTCTGTATTATATAGTTAATAATTATGTTCCTCATACTTAGGAAAATCTATTTCTATATTATTTGACATGTGTTTAAGCAATCACTTGTTAAAAACAGCTTTGTATATTTTATTTTCTTGTTACCCTAGTGGTGATAAAAATTATTTCAGTATGCTCAGTCCAATATACACTCACTGACAGATCCCCATGCCAGTGTATGAGATAGTATATAGAAACGATTCATAGTTTGTACAAATAGCTTAAATTGTTCTCCTTATCACCAAAACTTTATTTTTGGAGCCAAATTCAGTCCATGCTCATGCCCCATTTGTTTCATAGTATTTATAAGTATAATTTACTGATTGAAAGAAATATTGCAATAGAGAAAAGGGGTTCTAAAAATTGTACGCAGGCAAGAAAGAATTAAAGCAAAACTCATTAAGGTTCCAAATAAATAAATAAATAAATAAAGTGCTCCAATTTTCAATAATTTATAATTTTCCATTAACAGCTTTCAAAGCACTATCTGAAACTAGCTGATACAGAGAAATTAAGAGCAGTAATCAAGCGAGAAATGATAGACCAGCTGGGTCGACATCAACTTGGCAAAACGTGAATACAGTTCAATAGCTGAAACAGATGCTAGAGTTGTTGAAAAACCCTGCAGGAGATATTGATATATTTTCTTCATATAATGCAGAATGACTGAATAAATGTCAAAAGCTGGAACTTGATGAGGAGAAATGACTGACAGCCAAACTCCTTATAAAATAGAAACCAAGTGTAACAATTTTCAACCTATCCAAACATTGTATACATTCTCATTTCTCTCAGTGTCTCAATATGCCAATACATCAATCAGTTCTTACAAGTAAATTGCATATAACTGAGCTGGGGTAGATTTCCTCATAGATTCTACCCCCCACCCCCGTCATCATCTACCTGGAGAAACCTAGACTCTTGAGAAATACTTTATTTTAAAATCTTCTAACACTGATTTCTATCCCAGAAGTGTTTCCCTGAGGTTGGAGGCAAGCACACCCCCCAAAAAATCTAACGCAGCACAAGGTAATTTTAAAATCCATTCTGTAAAAGCAACACTGTTTGCAGAGTTTGAAGAGCTCAGCAACAAACCCCAGCTACCAACAGCTGCTTGTTCAAACATATGCTTTGTCATGGTCAGCTTCTAATTGTATTCATAATGATGTAATAGCTTTAATAATCCTACCTTCCATGCCAGCTGTTTTTCCTGTCACTCCATCATGCCAATAAGTTGGCTGCTGTAACAAATCAAGATAGTGCAAAACAGCATCATTCTCCTGATTCTGTCATCTTCCTGAAAGCATTCTATTACTGCCGACTGCTGGGAACCAGAAAGTCTATTTGAATTCCAACAGCTCCCCTTTCGCATGATTCAAGTTAGGTTAGGTGGGCATGCCTAACATGATTCTCTCAGTCATTTATTATGCAGCTGCTACAACGTCGGTGTGGTAACCACTCTGACTATCTGATACGTCAGTCGAACAAAACCTACACCTCGCAGCAAACACATGAGCCAGAGCAGCGTTCTGCATTTAATGAGCATTCTTCCTGCCTAAAAAACAGTGGATCTGCAAATCTCTTTCAGCATCTACTCGCTTCTCTGTACAGATGCAAAGCCTTTGGATTAGATTCTTTTCCTAACTATTCTAAGGGTAGAGTTCCTTGCCATGCATCATATTATTCACAGTAAAATTGTGGCTGATTTTAACTTATTTTTCCAACCCTTTAAGGGCAAAACTCTCTCTTCTGATTATACTTTTGAAATCAGGACGCTGAGCGCTCAGCTGCACATTTCTGTTTTATTATAAAATATAGCATGCATTTTCTCAAATGGAATTTGTCTCTTGTGATTCTATGGGAATTTTTCAAATTAGAGAAATTTTCAAGAACATATTATCTATTTTTTCAATTGGAGACATTTAAATTCTGCCACTCCATGTGTTTTTCTCAAGGGTGGACTTTTTACTTGATGTTTTGACTTGAGAAGAGTGTTCTTTTCACAAAGTAAGAAAATGGATAAGCTTAATCTCTTACACAACTTGTCTACCAGATAAATAAATGTTGTTTCAGGAGAATGAATATTGTATTTACATAATACTGTTAATGAATCAGTATTGTCAAAAAAGAAATTATAATTGCCATTACTATTAATTTTATCTAAAGCTTCTAAGCATGTCTCTCTTTTGTAGGACTAATATTTATGGTCAAAATTATATCACAGGAAAGTTTAAGTGTTTTATGGGAAAATACTTTGCAGGGAGAAGTGATCAAAATCTTAACGATCTATCAGATGTTCAATTTGGCAGGGGAGCTATCCTCCATCATCACAAAAAAGCAAACAGCTTGTTAAGTAGCTACATTATGAAACTATAAAGAATATTTCATTTAGCATATGTGAGATATGCCAATGAGTATTCTGAAATACTGTTTCTCTAAGGACTGTGTATTTCTGTGTGCACACATATATTTTAGTTATTCTAATGTCATTTAACTTTTTTTTTTTTGTAGATGGATAGCATGCCTTTATTTTATTTGCTTATTTTTATGTGGTACTAGGGATCAAACCCAGTGCCTCATACTTGCTAGGCAAGTTGTCTACCATGGAGCTACAGCCCCAGCCAGCCCCAGCCAGCCCCCACTTAACTTTTAAGTAACACACAAATATCTCCTATGTATAATAACATAAACAATAATTAGTAACAGTTTATTATGTTTTATTTAAAATGATTTGAATAAAGCAGAAATACAATTGGAGTCCATTTGAACCCATCAAATTTACTTTAAAATATTATATATTCATTTCACAAAACAATTCTGAAAACACTGGTTTGTCAATTACTATTATTTCTCTAAAACAAAGTCACTTTTGTGGTTAGCATATCTTTCCTAGAGATTGAAAATGGCATGAACAAATACTACATGGAATTTTCTACTCCTGGTTTCTGCTTATCACTCCAACTTTAACTTTTGCCTCTCTTTCCCTTCACACTTTGCTCCAGCCCCCCAAAATGTTTTGTTATTCAAAAATAATGTGGGGCTGGGGATGTGGCTCAAGCAGTAACATGCTCACCTGGCATGCACAGGGCGCTGGGTTCAATCCTCAGCATCACATAAAAATTAAAAAAAAATAAAGATGTGTCCACCAAAAACTAGAAAATAAATATTAAAAAATTCTTTCTCTCTTTCTCTCTCTCTCTCTCTCTCTCTCTCTCTCTCTCTCTATCTATCTATCTTACTATCTCTTTTCTTTCTCTCTTTAAAAAATAATGTGTACCTTCCTCTTTCAGAGATAATAAATACTGTTTCACCTATTCCTAGCGTGCCACCACCTTTAAACTTTAATTTTAATAAATTATATATATATTTAAGATGTACAGCATGACACTTTAATACACACATAGTTCAATGATTCCAATAATATGGCTAATTAATATACTTAACTCCTCATTTGGTTACCTTATATTTGTGTTTGCTTACAATGCTTAATATCTATTTTATCTGCAAATTTCAAACACAGTTTTAATTTTAGTTCTTAACCTGCACATTAGATATCTAGAATTTATCTGCTCTCATGACTACAATTGTGTTCCCTTTATCCCTATTCTACCCCTGCACGAGTTAGCATCATTCTACTCCCTGTTTCTGTGAATGTGACTATAAGTGAGCCATCAAGTAGTATTTTTCTGTGTCTGGATTACTTCATTACACACACACACACACACACACACACACAGACACACGAAGAAATTGTGATTTTTATTGATTCATCCATCAATATATAGTTAGATTTTTCTTTATCTTGGCTATTGTAAATAATGCTACAAGAATATGAGCAAATCAATACCTCATTGAGGACTGATTTCACTTCCTTTGGATATATACCTAGAAGAGGGCTTGCTGGATCCTATAATTGCTGTATTTAGAATTATTTAAGAGCCTTCATACTATTTTCTGTAATAGCTGTAGTGCCTGTTTACATCCATACCAATGTTGAACAAGGTTTCTGTTTTCTCCTCATACTTACCAATACTTATTTTTGTATTTTGATTTCTTTGTTCAGTGATGAAGATTGAACTCAAGGCCTCACCCATGCTCTACCACTGACCTACATCCCCAGTCTTTGTCTTTTGATATTAGCCATGCTAATAGGTATGAGGTGATATCTCACTGTGGTTTTGTCTTATATGAGGTTGTTAGCCATTTGTATATCTTCTTTGGAAAAATGTCTATTCAAGAGCTTTGCCCATTTTTTAGTCTGATTATTTCTCTTTATATCATTATAATTATGCATAGCATTTGGGTTCACTTTGACAAAATCACACATGCAAGGAATTTTATTTCAATGCCCATTCCTCATCTCTTTTTGATTATTTGATTTTGCTTTGAGTGGTTTTTGTTCTTGAGTTCTTTTAGTTCCTTATATATTTTGGATGTTAATATTATGTCAGACATGGTTTTCAAATATTTTCATCCAGTTGTAGTTGCCTTTTAATTTGTTTCATTTGCTATGCAGAAATATTTTAGATTGATGCAGTCCCACTTGTTTATTTTTGGTTTTGTTGCCTGTCCTTTTGGTGTCATGTCCAAAAAAAAAAAAATCATTTCCAAGATTAAAGTCAAGAAGCTTTTCTCTATGTTTTCTTATAGAGTTTTATAGTTTCAGGTATTACATTCAAGCCTTTAATCTATTTTAGTTGATTTTTTGTGTATCAATTTCATTTTTTTTTTGTGGTGCTGTCCATTGAACCCAGGGCCTTGTATATATGAGGCAAGCACTCAACTAACTGACCTATATTCCCAGCCCAAGTTCACTCTTTTTAATGTGGCTATGCCTATTTCCAAACACCACTTATTGAAAATAAAGACAAGGAAAGTTTCTTCATTGTGTACTGTTGGGGCTCTTATTGAAAATAATTTGACCATATAAGTATGGATTTATTTATGAGATCTTAGTTCTATTGCACTGGCCTATATGTCTGTTTTCATTCTAGTACCATACTGTTTGGATTACTAAAACCTTGCCATATGACTTGAAATCAGGACTTGTGGTATCTGAACTTATTCAAGATTGTTTACTTGATTTGGGTCTTTTGAGGTTCCATGTGCATTTTTAAAATGCTTTTGCTTTTCAGGGAAAAAATTGTCATTGATATGTTGATAGGGATTGTGTTAAATATGTAGAGTTGTTAAAATATTATGAATATTGAATCAATCCATGAACATGGAATATCTTTCAATTTGAAACTTTTTCAATTTCTTTCACTATTGTTCTGTAGTTTTCACTGTGTAGATATTTGACCTTCTTGATAAAATATATTTCTAAGTATTTTATTCCTTTTGATGCTGTTTTAGACAGGATTTTTAAAATGTTCTTTTCTGATAGGTGTAAATAAAAACTACTTGTTTTGAGTGTTGATTTTATTTCTTGCAACTTTACTAAATTTATATTTTCAAAATTATTTTAAAATTTTTACATATTTTTACATACTTTTACATATAGGGTCATGCCATCTACAATTGGAGGTAATTCCATTTATTCTTTTTAAGTTTGGATACGTTTTATTTCATTCTTTCACCTAATTTCTCTGACTCAGACATGAACTTGAATAGAAAAGTGTGAAGATTGAGAATCTTTATCTTGGACCAGACCTTACAAGAAAAGTTTTCAGTTATTCACCAGTGATTATGATCTTAGCTGTGGGCTTTCCATAAACAGTCTGTAAAGGTAAACTTCTAAATTTTTAAAATCATGAATGGATATTGAAGTTTGTCAAATGCTAATTTTGTATCTTTATGGTTTATCATAAGTTTATCTTTCATTCTACTAATGTTCCATATTCCATTATTGATTTGCATATGCTGGACCAATCTTGGCTCTCAGGGATAAAGCCTACTTGGTTAGAATGTATAATCTTTTTGATGAGCTACTGGATTTAGTATTTTGTTGAACTAGTATTTTATTTAGGAATTTTGCATCTATGCTTATAAGAGATATTTACTTGTAGCTTCCTTTCCTTGTGGTGTCTTTGGGAAAAAATGAGTTTGGAAGTGTTCCCTTGTCTATTTTTTGGAAGAATTTAGAAAAGATTGGTATTAATTCTTTGATTGTTTGGTAAAATTTACCTGTGAAGCGATTTGCTCCTGAGTTTTTCTTTGTCTAGAGGTTTTTGATTACTGTCTCAATCTCTTTGTCATAGGTCTGTTCAGGTTTTCTATTTCTTCTTGATTCTTTCTTGGCAAGTTGTATATCTACAGTAATTTATTAATTTCTAGGTTATCCAATTTTGGTCATATTATATAGTTGTCCATAATAGTCCTTTATGATCCTTTTTTTATTTCTGAGTCATCGGTTGTAACATTTCCTCTTTCATTTCTTGTTCTATTTATTTCAGTCTTCTTTTTCTCCCCTCTAGTAAAGCTAAGGGTTTGTTGATATTTAA